CATCTGATGCTCAACTGTTTGGTTTTAAAGTAAAATAGGGGATACCACTTGGAATGTGGAGAATAGAGTCCATCTGGGCACATCAAGCTCGTTAATTCTGAGAGTCTGGGATGGATTAAAATAGAAGCAGAAGTGAGGGTGGGGAATGCAGAATGGCTTCCAGCCTTGGAGCCGTTGATGCTGTTAACACTGACTGCAAACAGGAATGTATCCTCCGTGTTCCTCCAGCTTTTCAACAGAGCTTCCTCTCTGAAGGTGGATTTTCTCCATGCCAGGGTTCTCAGCCTCTCTCCTGCCTTCTTTTTGTTCACTTTGTCCTTCTGGAGTGGTTTTAATTTATTGATTAGTCCAAGAGCTTTGCTGATCAGTTTCTCCTGCAGTGTCTAACAGCCATCATGGAACTAATTCATTTCAGATTTTAGAATTGGAGCTGTCTCTCCCTCCCGCTTCACTCAGGAAAGGAACTCTTGTTTCCCGAGGACCATTAAATGCAACCCTGCCAAGTGCCCTATTTCCCAAAAACCCAAACAGGGGGTTTTTATTGGTGACAGAACAAAGACAGAAAGCAAATAGGAAAAAAAAAAAGCTGGGGTTCAAACCCAGGTCTGTCAAAAAAGAAGGCGTGTCAACACCTAGTTCTGAGCATCTCTAAAAAGTGTGTTCCACAGGTCCACGTTGCAGAGCAGGATGGGAAAGCCCAGAGTTGACAGCCAGATGGAAGGAGGCGCACAGGGCAGGGTGTGGAACACAGTTTAGAGAGCCGCTCAGAACTAGGGGTTGACATAGATTCTTTGTGGTTTTTGTTTGTTGTTTTTTGAGACAGGGTTTCTTTGTGTAGCCCTGGCTGCTCTGGAATTCATTCTGTGAACCAGGCTGGCCTTGAATTTAGAGATTTGCCTGCCTCTGCCTCCCGAGTGCTTGGATTAAAGCTGTGCACCACTACCACCTGGCTTCGACACGCATTCTTATATATGCTGTCTTATAATTCTTTCAATAATGAAGCCAGCTGGGCATCTCTTAGGAACTTTAAGATTTAAACTCAGGGTGTACATTCATTGCCAGCTGACCTCTTGGACACATGTAGCTTTCACCTGGAAATGCTCCTGCAAGCTGTGTACTTGCCTCACTAGTGTATCCAGGGGACTTCCCAAATTTCTGGAGCTGAAAGTTACTCCTGCCTTTCCCATGTCCATCTGTCCAGATGGTATTTATCACTTTATCACCAATAGTATTTTATATTTAGTATGACCTATCTACATTGTAAGACTTCTTAGAGTTGGAAACAGTGTTTATCAATGATATAAACAAAAACAACACACTTCTACTTTAGGTGAACAAGTGATTACATCCAAGAAGACATGTTCCAAAAAGAGAAAAATGAAATAGTCAAATTACAAACCGGCTGTTTTGTGTGCTCACTTTGGGTCACAGCTCTGTTAAGGATGGAGTGGGCTGTGGAATTCACCTAGTAACAAATCTTTACCAGCTAGATTAGCAAGGGGGATGTTAAATCAATTAAGGTCTTCTAGGCGCTTACTTAGTGGCTTCATGTTGCTACTTCTGTTTCCAAAATGGTTAAAACTAAGCCTTCTATTATAGGCTTCATGTGCCATGGCTGCAGAAATCAAAGTGTGTTGACTTTGCCAGGGCAGTGAAAATATACTGGAACGGGTTGCCCATTCCGAGTCTCAATTTTCTTCCTTACGATTGCCAAAGAACTGGGATTTTAGAGAACTTTTGTTCTTGTTGTTGTCATCTTAACATATTGGATGTCTACAGTACCTGAAGGCATTGCAGTGTCCAAGGCTGCCTGGCAGCATCATAGATCAGCCCGCACTATCGAAGGCTGAGTATAAGGCCAATGGCTGTAGATGCCTGTAAGGCTTGGCCATGTCAATATTAAAGATATGAGGCCCTTGTAGGTGAAAGGAAATGGGAATCCATGTTCTCCAATGGGAAGATACCTGGGTTTGTTCCAGGCTCTGAAAGTGACTCATCCAGGTGTTAGTGCTTCCTGGTGAGATGGAGATCAAGTGAGAATGGAGATCTGGACAGCCTTGAAATGACAGGGAATTTGGAGGGAACCTGTGGGTACTGAGACTCCTTTGTCATTGAGGTAGAAAGGAAGGGTTAGGGAGATAAAATCAAGGCACAGAAGCCAGGGGAGGCTGTGAGAGAGCAAGGGAGTAGCACTGGTAAGACTTGAGAATTGAAGAGTGGACCTCTCCATTGCAGGTAACTCACTGATAGAAACGGTACTCTGGGGGAGGGCGAGTTAGGTGGACAGGCTTTCGGTGCTGTATCAGTTTGCAGTACAGATGGGAAAAACCAAGAGAACTACCAGAGGCTGGCCAAACAGGGGGTAGTGTGGATGAAATTTGGGAGTCATCTCCGGATGTGTATTGATCATGTGGGAATGTATGTAGTTCTTTGAAACTTGGAGCACTAGACTCAGAAGAGACTGTGTGTTTCTTAGTGAATTCTAAGATGAGTGTCGAGTGTCATAAGTAGGACTTCATTTTAGTTGTCGTATGAGTCACCAGGTGAGTTTTTCAGCTGGCCCTTTAGTCACTCTGTTCCCAGTTCCTGAGCTGGGTGAAGAACTTCCTGTTTCCTTTTTGCTCACCACACACTGATGGGCAGTGACTCTAACACTGGGAAGAATTTGGCTTAAATTATAAAATTTAAAAGGTATGTTTAAAACCTTAATATATTCCATAAGACACTCTAAGGACAAAGGACATAGCTTTAAATTTCAAAAATTTCAAGACCAGAATGTTTTATAACCCTACATTTCATGTGTGGTTTTCAATGGGTTTAAAAATACTCAGTGGGTATGTGGGCGGTTTCTCGTGTTTTGGGTAACGGTGAGAATATGAGATGCTGAGCTTTGGATTCTGGGATGGGAGCTATAATTACTAACCAGTGCCTTCCTGGGATTGGTTTACGGGTGAATATTGGGTATCTAAAATCCAGCAAGCCAGAATTCATAGCATCAAGCCCTGCTTTCCCCCTGGAAGTTAAATTTGTGACTGGCAGTAGAGGGAGCCTAAGCGTGTGTCTTTCCTGGTCTTTTTCCTGCTTTGTGACCATTCACATGTGAGACAGAACAGAAGTGAAGGCTGGTGTGGTGGCTTCTCCAAGCCTGGTGCCCAGCATCTACCACACAGCTGCTATGGAAACATTTCTAAATATAATATAGGGCTGACTTCATATGCTCCTCCCCCACAACTCAGCGGATGTGGTAAACACCCTAAAAATACCTATGTGCTGAACTTTTGAGGTATCAGAAAGGAAGGGGCAGGCAGGCACAAGGACCAGGGCTAGAAGTCCGGCACTGTTGGAAGGCTCGCTCATCCTCCAGGACCATTGCCCACTGGGCCTGTCTGCAAAGCTGTTTGGTGTGCGGTGCCCCGTGTTGTTCCACTCAAGGCTAAGAGCTCGCTCTCTAGTCCTGTATTTACTGTTGGCAGGTTTCAAGGAAACTATTCATAGAATGACATCTGTTCCCTAGCCTATTGGCTTCAAACCTGCAGCTGCTACCATACAGGCAAGGGCTTGAGTTTCGATTGATTTCATAAAATCAGAATTTTAGAGCTGGTATGTTCCCAGTTTAGTGTTCACAAAATCATCGCCATCTATCCTGGCCTAAAGAAGTCATATATCTGTGCCCATGTAGTAACCATAGGAGTTTGAGAATGGAGCCTGCTCTGGTTACTAGCAGGTCATTATTTTCACACTCATATTCACACAATATAAAAGAGGAATAAAAAAATCTTTTAAAATTGACTAAGTGATTGTGCAAAGCTTTTTCTGTTTTTACTTTAAAAAAATGAAACTGTGAGTCTGGAGAAGTAGCTTATCTGTTTGGTGAAGTCCCTGTTGAACAAACATGAGGACCTGAGCACCTACATAAAAATTCAGGTGATGTGTACTGGTAACTACAATGCTAGGTGGAGACAGCTGGGTTCCTGAAGTTCACTGGCCAGACAGCCCAGCCTGTCTGATGAGCTCCAGGTTCAGTGAGAGACCCTGTCTCAAAAAAATAATGTGGAGAGTGACTGAGGAAGCCAGTCAAGACAGACCTCAGGCCTACACACACACACACACACACACACACACACACACACACACACACACACACACACTGTGTGTGGGGGGGGTGTTAATAAATCAGTAAGTCAAACAATGAGCTTTTTTTTTGTCACCCAAATTCAGTATTTTGAATACAAGATCTGTTGGTGACATAACGAACACCAGCAATCCTGTCTCCCAGAAGGCTTTGCATGTTCAGCTTCCAGACTTGAAAAGCATAAGATCCTATAATTGATTGACCATTGGCGAGTTCTGTTTCTCAGGAAAGAAAGCCTTCATAGTTGCTCTCCAATGCTCGTGGGATGGGCTCCAAGTTGTGGAGATGGTCAGCACTATCATCTAGGACAGATGGGTCTCTCAACTCCTATGCCTGCCCCCAGTCCCTGCTTGTCCCCTCAGAGGAGGCCCGCTGTGTGCAGAGCCTACAGAAAGAAGTGCCACTAAGTCTGGACAGTAAATGGAGGAGATGGAACTGTTTTGTGTGTAGAGAAGTTTTAAGTACATTGTAATTTGGTGGTTACAACAACAGTCCTTAGTTGTAGCCCTCTATATCTTCCACTGTGAGCATCTCAGAGCCCCCTTTGTCTGGAAGAGTGTTTGCATGTGTAGAAAATAAATGGAAAGTTTTTCTTGAATGTCGGAAGCTATTAAAATGTATTTTAATGTCACCTATCGAATATATGAACTAGGCACTTGTAGGAGCTCCTGTTTCCTGGAACTGTACACTTAATGCAAGGAATGAAGCCCCCAGGGAGGCAGTCTGCTTTTGGAGGGAGGTTCTGGAGTTGGTAGTCAAGCCAGGGAAGGCACGGGCACCAGGACATCTCTGTGTCACAAGGACCATGAAAGGAAAATCTGGTGATATAGTTCATGGCCTCATCAACACTTCTCTTCTTAAATTACAGAATGAAGAACTTCGGAACTTATCGCTTTCTGGCCATGTTGGATTTGACAGTCTCCCTGACCAGCTGGTCAACAAATCCACTTCTCAAGGATTCTGTTTCAACATCCTGTGCGTGGGTAAGTGAGGGTGTCCCCTCTTGCACAAAAGGGGACATGTTTATGGGGCAGGAGGATGAGGTGATAGTTTATTCCCCATTTCCTCCAATTTAGCAGGGTAAAATTGCTTGCCCTGGGCGGCACCATTATGAAGATTCAGAGCTGTATTTGGTAAATGCTTTGTAATTTTGTGGTGCTACTCAAATTGTCTTTATTTCTGTCATGTGGTCATGCAACTGGTCAGTTTTGTTATAAAAACATTTATTGTCCTTTTTCGTGGAGAGGAGTCACTGGACCCTAACTGGACTACAGGAAGTTGAAAGAGCTCAGGTACGTACTGGTAAAACATTCAAAAGCCTTTAAGCCAGTAGTTCTCAATCTGTGGGTCTCAACCCCTTTGGGGTGGGGTCACATAAGATATTTACATTACAGTTTATAACAGTGGCCACATTACAATTATGAAGTAGCAATGAAAATAATTTTATGGTTGGGGGTCACCACAACATGAGGTATTAAAGGGTCACAGCATTAGGAAGGTTGAGAAACACTGCTTTATGCAATGTATCCCTGGAGTCCCTGCCCCCTGACTTCTGTGAACAGTAATCTCCTGGAAGCCTTGTAAAGACACACAGTGAGCTAGGAAGAGTTAAAATGACTCTGACACCTCAGTAAACTTTTGCTCTCAGGACAAAAACAAATAAAAAAATCTAGAATTCTACTTTGTGTCTGACCTGCTGTCCTTAAATTGGGATCTAAATTTGACCTTTGTTTTATTCCTTGTAGACAAATCCAAAGAGATCTGACTCACACCCTCACTGTGTTTTATTCAGCCCCGCCCCCAACTCCTGCAATGTTCTGCTGTAACCCAGGTCATTTCTGGCCTGGGGGTGGGATGTTCTTCCTCACTCTAGCTACCTCCTTTAGAGAAAGGTGGAAAGGGGTGACAAACAAGAAAATCAAAATATAAATCTGTTATCTTGATTAAAAACTATTCCCGAGACACCCTCACTGAAGACAGTGAGCTTGTTTGTGGTTTGGAGTTTTGTTGCCACAGTTTCCTTTGCATCCCCTTCAAGACATCACTTTGAGACAGACGAAAGCATCTCTCTGTGTGGCCGAGTGAACTGTCCCCCCTTCTAAAACTGACAGAATGGGTTAGACTGACTTCTTGGCTAAGTGAAAGGAGGTAAATTGGAAAGGTTTGCCCTCAGTGTGAGAAGCACGCTGGCTCACCCGGAGCAGAAGCAGTTGGGGAGGGGGTGCGTTTCTTCTTCTGGAGCCTGCTACATGTAGCCAGTGTGAAGGGGGTATGAAAGTCAGCAGTGTAGATGTGACAGTTGGCCAGCACTCTGGGCCAGTTTGTTCTCTGGCAGTATGTTTTAAACTGTGGCTAAGAGAATGGCAGGAAAGACGTGGCCAAAACAGCCAACTCATGTATCCCTCTGTGTGTGTGTGTGTGTGTGTGTGTGTGTGTGTGTGTGTGTGTGTGTGTGTGTGTGTGTGTGTAAGCCTTTTATTGTTGAACAGGGGCCTCTTGAGCTCAGTTAGTTCTACAGAATGGCATAAATGAGTTGTCTTTTGATACATGCTCCTTGCAGAGCAGGCAAATTAGTGTAGCAATTTGCTGGTTTCGTATTAAAATGTGCACTACATTATAATTCTGGGCCAATTACTATTCTGACTTCCCTTTCAAGCCTCCCCAGATCCCTTTCCAAAATGCTTTTGTGAATTGATCTGAGAATTGCTCGGTGCTTGCTGCACTATAGAGCAGAGCTGTCCTGGCTAGAGGGCCGGATCTAACTGGGTGGATGGCGTGCAGCGGCTTAGTGACTGCCGTAATATGTGCATATGATTGAAAAGTTACAAAACTCCCACCTGAATTTGTATTCCTCACAAGTAACCCTGGATGCTTCTAGGAGCTACCCACCTCTTTCTCTCATAAGAAATTAGTCTGGTGGCTTGTAACACAACCAATACATTGCCTTTCAGTTGTGCAGGCAGAATTCTGCATTAGTCTGTGGGTGGCATTACCTACAGGAGCATTAGGGGGGAGAATGAATCCCTTGTTTTTATTATTTCAGAGGATGCCTGCATTCTTGGCTCTTAGATCCTTTCCCTTATCTTCAATGGAAGCAAAGCATTTCTTTGGTTGTCATTCTTATAATGGGAAATTCTTTTTCACAGAGAATTGGAGAAATCCAGTTTAAATGTAGCTAAGATTGCCTTCCCCTTGCCAGATGGTGGTAGCACATACCTGTAATCCCAGCACTTGGAAAGCAGAGGCAGACAGATGATCTCTGTGAGTTCGAGGCCAGCCTGGTCTACAGAGTGAATTCTAGGATAGCCAAAGCTACACAGAGAAACCCTGGCCTAAAAAAAAAAAAATTATATATGTATATGCCTTCCCCCTAATATAGGCTAAGGAAAATAATGCATTAAATTATTGAATGATAGAATTAAGAACACTTAGCTCCAGGACTGGGGACATGGCTCATTAAGCAAACACATTTGCTACACAGGTGTGAGGATCTATGTTCAAATCTCTAGAAACTCCTGTATAAACTTGGTACATAATGTAGGCTTCTAGAATCCCAATGTATCTCTTTGAGATGGAGATGGAGGCCAGGAGTTCATGGGTCAGCTAGTCTGGCATGCACAGTCAGAAAACAACAGAGACCCTGTCCCAAACAAAGTGGAAAGACTAAGGTTTTCACACATAGGTGCTGTCACTGACACTTGTGGATGTGTGTATATACACACATTGTGTTCACAAACACACACAGAACACAATGCCTCCTGGGATGGAAGTATGTGATCAGAACACTGTCCACTTCTTGATGTTGCTTGCTGGTAGCTTGTTTGTGTTTATGCTTTTCCTCCCTGCAATCTGGCTTCCAGCAATTACCAGCTTAACAGCTAGGGGAAGGACCAAACCATTCCCTGACACAGATCACTGAACATCACAGATTTTTCTGAGTGTGATGTCACATGCCTAGCCTGGCTGGGAGTGGAGGTCAAAATGCAATGGCTCCCTAAGGAAAGAAAGGCTTTACCAGAAGGGAGAGGGGTATGGGCCCCCCATACTGGACAGATAAGGATCCCAGGTGCACAGGTGTTTGGGATTTGGTTTACACAAAGGATACACTGTTTAAATACTTTCAATTGTTTTCACTCCATAGTAAATCTCCATACACTTCCAAAACAGGGTATGCAATTCTTCATATTTTCCAGATTTCCTTTCACTACAGTTTGGCTGTGGTTTGAGTCTGTCCTCTCATACGTGTTCCTTGTCCGTGTTGTCATGCCATCTACCATTCTTAGGTCCTCATTAGCAACATTAAGGCTAACACCATGCCTTCAGACCTCCCCAAATGTGAACTAAGCAGACTTCCTCTCTATAAAATTACCCTGCCTTGGGCCTTTCATTATAATAACAGAAGTAACATTATAGTAACATGAAGTCTTTGGAAGGAGGTGAGACATGTCAGTATAAACCCTAGCATATCAGAAGCCAGGCTCACCCAAGCTCTTCACCACAGGTATTTTATAGCATCAGCAAGAACAGACTCCTATGATAAGTTTGTTAGAAAGTGCTATAGCCAATCGGAATATTTGGAGATCGAGCACATGGAGGAGTAGGAGCCATATTTGACTTGAGTGTCCATGGAGAGAGTCCCTTTTCATCCCAACCTGTCTATTGTACCTTTCATACATTAAACCACCCACGATATTTGTAGCATTATTTTACTTTTTTTTATGTTTTTGATTTTTTGAGACAGAGTTTCACCATGTAGCCCTGGGTGTCCTGAAACTCTCTTATGTGGACCAGGCTGGCCAGGAACTCAGAGATCTGTCTCTGCCTCCTGAGTGCTAGGATTAAAGGTGTGCACCACCAGGCCCCACCTCATTTTACTTTCTTGTGAGGAATATAAACAGGGATTGAGGGTTCAGCAAAAGTTGTGATTCCGTTAAGGAACTTTTTTTTTTTTTTTTTTTTTTTTTTTTTTAAAAAGGAATCATAGTTTTGTTTTGTGAGTTGTAAACAGAGAAAATAAATCGGGGCTGACACTGATCTTGACATAAACTTAGTGTGTTTTCAGAGCTATAGTGTTATCTGTCTGCCATTAGAATCCTCTGATATTACACTCTGCGAGTAAGTGCAAGGGAGAGAGACTTCACTTACAGGTTGAGACCCTGGAGTTATTGGTTCTCCTCTCCATCTTGCTTATGTTAAGTCGTCACCCCCCACCCCACCTCCCAAACTGCACTTTGCTTTAAATAAGGCCTTTCATATACAGGAGGTATTTTAGCAAAGAATCATCAGTTCTTCAAGCTCTTGTCACAAGTTTAGATTCCTGTACCTGTCATCATTCTCTAAAATGATACCGATTCTCTCAGAGGTCCCATTCATTCATTGGCAGAGTGTCAGTTCTTACAAACATATGAAGATGAATGAGAAGCTGTAGCCATCCCTGTCTGAGGAGGAGCTGGTTTGAAACAAGAGTCAGTAATCTATTTTGAAAATGGATTTAAAAAAAAAAAAACAAAACAGAAAACTAAGCTTAATTGTTTTGAGGGGATGAGAGGAGAGGAACAGAACACAAACAAATTTACAATTGCTTTAAACAAGTCTGCAGTGTCAGGTTCTTGTCAGATCTTCCAAGTCTTAGTCCCACCTTTTTCCAGGAAAGGCTATGAAACAGCTCATAGAATAAAATGAGTGAAGATAAAGTTGACCCTCAGAAAATAAGTGGAAGATCAGGTTAGGCTCAGAGCTCATAGCCCGTTGCCAGGCTTGTCTGTAACAGTTACATATTATGTGCCAAACACAAGTTAAAAGTTTAATGTGTGAGAGATTTACTAAGTAAAAACCAGAAATAATCATTTCAGACAAAACTCACCTTAAAAAAAAAATTCGTATAGATTTTTCGGAAAAGAGGTTATTGGTGGATGTTGTGTTCAGAACACATCCCCAAAGTCCAGTCAGTAGAAGCAACAGTACATCATGTTGTGTGGTATGGTCTTTTAAATCCCCTTGCAGGCTGGCACTATTATGCCAAAGCATGTTTCATTAAAGGCCAGCGTGTGAGGAGTAATAACATAGCTTTCAGCTGTCTGATTACCCGGCTCTGTCCAATAAACTCTTGGCTCTTTAAGGGAGGCAAGCAGACCCTTGCCTATAGCTGCTTGCCTGAGTGACCAGGCTTGGCAATTAGAGAGAAGGGTCTGACTCCGGCATCAGTGTGATTCATCCTGCAGCTCTGGCTGTTCTTATTGTCCACCCAGAGTGAGCCTGAGAGTGAACAAAAGGGTGGGATAGCTTTCCCCTGGGATGTTCACCACCATTGGCAGAAGCTGCAGAGAGCGCCTCACCAGTGGCTTCCATTACTCTGGCCACCACACGCTCAGACAGATGAGCTGACAACAGAATAGCGACCCACGGAAAAGCCACCAAAGTGGCAAATCCAGTAAAATGCTCATCCACATGACCATTTTGACTCTCTGTTCGCATGAACAGATACCTCCTCTGTGCCTAGAGCTCCGATGTAAGCTTTGAAAGGCTGCAGAGTTGGTGTTGTCACTGCTTTTCTGAAGATGTCACTATGTTTGATGGGAGCTGGATCCTGTCCTTAGCAGGTTGTCAGTTAATCAGTGCGGTGGTTTGAATGTAATTGGCTCCCATTGGCTCATAGGGAGTGGCACCATTAAGAGGTGTGGCCTTGTAAAAGGAAGTATGTCATTGTGGGGGTGGGCTTTGAGGTTTCATATATGCTCAAGCTGCGCTTAGTTCAGTTCACTTCCTGATGCCTTTGGATCAAGATGTAAAACTCTCAGCTCCTGCTCCAGCACCATGTCTGCCTGCAGGTTGCCATGTCCCACCATGATGATAATGCTCCAAACCTCTGAACTGTAAGCCAGCCCTGATTAAATGTTTTCCTTTACAAGAGCTGCTGTGGTCTTGGTGTCTCTTTACAGCAATAGAACCCCTAAGACAATCATCATGCAAGCAAAACACTCAGACACATCAAATGAAAAATAAATCTTTTTTTTTTTTTATTTACAAAGGAGGCAGAAAAGTCAACATGTTTTTGCTTTATCGGAACTTCAAGGTATGTACAGAGCTTTGCATTGGAGGTTCAAAAAACAGTGCACTGAAAATCTCCCCTATGCCAGGCATGGTGGTGTGTTCCTCTAAGCCTCATGCTTGGGAGGCAGAGGCTTAAGATTGAAAGTTTGAGGCTTATCTGAGATATATAGTGAGTTTAAGACCTGCCTAGGCTACAAAGCAAAACCTTGTCAAAACAAAACAAGAAATAGCACATGCCTTGAGTTCCAGCACTCTGAGTGGCAAAGGTCTGCAGATCTACATGAGTTCAAGGTCAGCTAGGACTACATAGTGAGAACCTGTCTCAAAAATACAAGTCAAGCAAAAACTGCTGAAGAACAACAAACCCAGGGCTTGGGGTGCAGCTAAGTGGTAGAGCACTTGTGTAGCCTGAAGCAGACCCCAGAACTGCAAAAGTTACCCCTCCCCTTGGTTCTGTGGCCCTCTTTACTTCCTGCTGCAGCTTCCCACTGACTGCTCTTGGTGAACCACACCACTGCTAGTGTTGGTGTGTCTAATTACAGCTCTTAAAAGTGCAGAGCATAGAGCCAGAGAGCCAAATGCATGGAAATTTAGTGGAAATTTTTTTTGTTGCTTTAATCAGTTGATTAACTCTGTGCTATAAGTAGGGTCCAGAATGCTCATTGTTCACAATTTCCACCGTAATGCAGACAATCATTAACCACGCCATGTTTTTTTAAAAAGATGATGGATGGTATTCCCAATTCACGTGTGCTTAAGTAACTCTCAGCTAGTAAAAGGAAAGAGTAGTTGTAGTCTCAGGTAGCCTAGACTCCTTGCCTTATAAATGGAAGTTTTATTGCTGTCCCCAGAGAAACATGAGAGAGAAGTGGGTCACTCTATGACAGCCTTTGACACGATGGATACTTCTGGGATAGGGGCACTGCTTGCCTCTTTGCTGATGTCCTGCAAACACAGTTTTCTGGGAACCAAATGGTCCCTGTGCAACATGTGCTCACAGTGGCGTGGGCACATGTGAGTCCAAGTCTCTTAAGGGGAGAATGCCCTTTCTTATCTGTGTCCATCACATAATAATTTTGTTTTGCTCATGGCTAATTTGTGAGGACTCAAATCATGGCCGTGGCCTGGGGAAGGGCCACTTGCAAAGAGGCAGAAGATTGGCTTATGTTATTTCTATACTGTGTGTGTGTGTGTGTGTGTGTGTGTGTGTGTTACTATGCATGAGAAAATGCATATTCAAGAAAGTAAGGAAGACCAAACTCACTCTCAAATACTATCCAGCCAGATGCAGAGCCATCTGTAATGACATCCAGGCAATAACTGAGGTGCAAGCTATCAGAATTTTTTTTTCACCCTGTCACCCCCTCACCTAGACTCATTAGCATAGTAAGCACTCAAATACTAGCTCTATAACTCAGTTTCTGGTGTTTTGCCTTTCTGTATCAATCTGTTCTCTTCTCCTGTATTCCCAGCTAAAGCTCCGTCTCCACTGAGGCTTCTGTGTATTCATAGCCTTCCCTCCCTTGTCTTTTCAGCCTGTTTACTTCTCTCTGTACACCTTTCTGTTTTCATGCCATGGCAGCATGTCGATTGTCTTTTATTCAGAGATGTTCTACTTGGGTGAGACTCTCCTGTAGCACTGTAGCAATCAGGCCTCTGTGGTTGCCTTTGGGTCAGAGGCCAAGCTGTAGAGTTTTCTGTGGCAACTCAACGAGGTTACAGGGTAGAAGGTGTGGCCTTGCTCATGAGAAGAGTGTGACTATGGTAGGCTCTTCGAATGCTATTCCCATTCTGGTTGGTATTTGATTACATTCTGGACCAGATTCTGAGATATGAGAGAACACCGGATCAGCCTAGTTCATTGTTGTATTCCTACAACTTGGCACAGAGCTGGGTACATAGTAGGCACTGGAAAAATACTGGCTAATAAGGGAGGAAATTCTATGATCTTAGACATATCAGGGCCTCAGTGGAAGAAGCTAGAGTAAGGAAAATGCACTCAAGCAACATTTTACCGAAGAAATGAACCAATGAATCAATCAAAGCAAGCCACATCAGGCTGCTTATCAGAAAAAGGCCAGTCAGAAAGCCCTGTCCCACTTTACACTGTGTTAAGAAGCAGTGATTACAATTGAGTCTGAGAGGACATTAAAAATGTGCACTATGGCTAGTGCATCTTGAGTTCTACCTCCTCTTCTTGATAATCATATCTAAACTCAACCAGCTTCGCCAGCGACAGGCTCTGTTCTCTGTCCCATAGCTCCAAGACTAATAGATGAACTGAAGTTGTAAGAGATTTTTGCTTGGTCCTACAATGAAGGCTGAGAATCCTCAGTGGATTCATCCTGGCTTCACATTTGTACCCCACTCCCGACCCCTGACAGGTTGATACAGTTGTTTTGGTGTCCTTCCCTCTGCTCTGTGCATATGAGGAGCCCAATACACATCCTTGGCTTGAAATCACTGCAAACCAATAAAGCCATTGCTTCAAGTCCTGTTTAAAATAATCATCATAAATATGGCCTTGAAATTCATAAACTAGTGTTTGTTATCTTGATTTCAGCTCGGCAGAGGGGAGGAAAGAGCAGAGGGGGCAGAGAGAGGGGGGAGGGAGGGAGAAGAAAGAGAAGAGAGGGAGAGCAGAGACTGACCAAGATGCCCAGCCACAGTTATAATAGAGTCGGAATAAATGTAAACACCAGGACCATATATACTAGGTTAAAACACTGGCTCTGCCTCTTTACAACTGACTTTAACCAAGATAATTTTAGGAGCCTTAGTGTTCTTTCTGCCAAGTACAGGAAACTTTGGTGCCTAGGTGGGGGGGGGGGAACAAGTAGTATAAATGAGGGACTATGTGGAACCTCCTATCATGGGCCTGGCGCAAAGTAAGCACTTAGAATCTTTGGTGGTGATTGTTACCGAAGAGTTGTTTTGAAATATATACATTTTTTTTTAAAACATTAAATCTACTAATGTATCTTTGCTTTAGTAATAAATTTTACAGACTGGTTCAAGAGAAAAAGAGATAATTTTTAATCCTCATGGTATACAGAGTGGCCATAGGCAGACTCACAAGTACTGACTATCTAAGGGTTAAAAATGTCTTTTTTTTCCATGCTAGGAATGGAACCCAGGGCCTCATGTGTGCCAGGCAGTTCTGCCACTAGGCTGTATCCTCAGCCATTTCTTTCTACTTTTTATTCTGAAGCAGAGTCTCTCTAAGTTGTTCTTTCCTCTCTACCACAGCCTTCTGAGTTGCTGGGATATCAAGCCTGTACCATCTGGCCAGACTGCTAGAAAATACTCTAATCTGTAGGTTCAAGCTCTCTTCTGCTCAATACTTTATGAATTTAGAGGTTCCTCTAAGGAAGTGTTCCATAGATAAACCAGAGAAAGAACTATGGATTCATGGTAGAGTTTCCAGAAATACTGTCCTCCCTGCCTTTTAACTTAGTTTTGATTTTTCTTTTGTGTTTATATAGGTGAGACGGGCATTGGCAAATCCACATTGATGGACACTTTATTCAACACCAAATTTGAAAGTGACCCAGCTACTCACAATGAGCCAGGTGTCCGGTTAAAAGCCAGAAGTTATGAACTTCAGGAAAGTAACGTACGACTGAAGCTAACCATTGTTGACACAGTGGGATTTGGAGACCAGATTAACAAAGATGACAGGTATATCTTAAGATTTTTGTAGCTATAGAAATGGGTCAGGAGATAGGCAGCTCAAGGAAGCTCCATCCCAGGTACATTCAAAGGCCTAGAAGACTTTGCTTTGGGTGCAGAATTACCAAATAGTGTCTGAATGACAACTGGGAGGGTGGGTTGAGCCTAATGAGGAATTCAGATTAGTTGGATGATCTAAAATTTCCTCTACACAGAGAAGATTATCTAATTAGATAATTTATAATATAAAATCCTGTGTGTGCACGGGAAAATAACTCCTAAGTAAAAAATAAAATGTTTTCAAAGCAATTTGACATGGTGGTTTGTATTTAGGTAGAGGCTACTCACTGCTAGAGGATTCTTGGTGTAGTCATAAAATCTGGCCCTGATTCATCACATAAACTTGAAGCTATATTGTAAAATACTGCAGTGAGTTTTTATTTTGTGAAACAATAGCCCGTTTGTAAAGCCTCATAAATGGGGGTCTTCACTGTGAGTGTCCATTTGCCTCTCCTTGAGGAAAGTTGTTAGTTCTTGAAACTTGCCAGAGTGCAATGTGCATGTTGACTGTCCTCGAAGGGTCACACTCTTGTCCTCTCATGGCCAGTGAACCCATTCTTCAATCTTAACTTCAGATGTCTGGACTGTTTAAAATATTCCACTTGTTCTCACACTGTATCTGAACCTCCTCCAGTCCATCCCCGCTTTAGTTTCTCTGTAGTCTAAAGGAAGTGGGTTCCATTGCAGTTTGGCCAAATCAAGGGGGAGAGATAACCTCATTTCTACCACCATGCCTATGGTAGCCTTATAATTTATAGAAACCCACGAGGTCAAGGCCAGACCCTGTAGATTTCACAGTCCTCCTGGGGGTGAGGTGTGAGGGGGGTGGGTGCTGACATTGGTGCTCAGCCCCAGGATGGCTCTCCATTGTCTCCATCAGTAGCAGACTGCCAGCATTCTCAGTTTGAAGGCTGCTAGACTTTCAGGAGTTGTGCTAGTACGAAAAGAGATTGAAGAAGACTAAAACCATCTCAGGCCCAAAGAGGATTCTAGACACATTATTGGGTAATGACAGTATTATGGGGCTATCTCACCCTTTCTAGTGGTCAATAGTTGTAGGATGTTTTGCTTATAAACCTCATCCATGACCGAGTTTTGAAGAATCCTTTCCTCAGAATGGTATGTGTGTGTGTTTCTGAGGATGTGTAACAGTACCCAGCAGAAATAAGTATGGTAGTTCCTGACAGAAATACACAGTTCATTCTGTAGCTGAGCAGTGTGGTCTGTTTTATCTGCAGGGCACTTAAAACACTCTGCAGTAGACATTGTCCTGTGATAACACAGGCAACTGTTACTTCAATGACAAGGACTTCATTTGCATATGATCAAAGTAGGACCACCTGTACCCAGCTAGGGAAGGGACAGTCAGGCTCTGTGTGACTTTCAATGCCTAGGCATGATGGGGAGGTTGTGCCCAAAGGCCATTTTAACGTTAAGTGCAACACAGGAGGAGAAAACTCTGGGGACCAGGAAAAGGGCACAGGTGCATTGTGGGAGCTGGAGACAGAGCCAGGGCCTTCTGTTCCTGCACAGTCCAGGATAAGCACAGAGGAAAGCCTGTCTCAGGCTTTTCGGGATAGATTTCTTCTGGGAGTTAGGGAATTTCATGTTTATGCATTCCCTGGCTGGATTCTTGTTGGGCTTCCCACAGGCTTCGGCAGCAGCCTCCATCTGACATCTTGCTGCCGAAGCCCCATGTGCTTTTTCAGCTCGCAGTCATTGCATCAACACAGCCACTGCTTTTTCTTTTGCCTCACCCCTACCCAAGACTTCCCCTCAGGCTGGTGGTTTTTCACTGGCCAGCAACAAGCTGCAAAATAGCTAAGCTAGCACCCTGCAGATCCTCATATCTGCATCTGGAGCCCTCTTTAAGAAATTATCTGACTCATTTGGGTCAAATAATAGTTTCCAAGGAGACTCAGAAGAGAGGAAGTGTGATATTAACCTAACCTAGATACCAAATATTTTTTTTTTCCTCTTTAATTTCTTGACAACTCTTGCATAACCTTTTGAATGGCTTTCAGAGCTCTAGACCCATGCCTCAAAAGGCATTGTTGACTAAACTTAAATGACTTACTTATCTAAAAATAGTTGCTGGAGGTCTGTTTCCATCAGAATATTGGAAGTGGGATGTGCATTTTTGTATCAGTGTGTAACCATATAGGAAGTGATGCATTCTCTCGCCAAGTCAGACTTATCTTTTTTTCTATTAGGCAAGCTTTTTGGCCATAGGTCCAGGACATCAAGAATGTCCCAGTGTGTTTATAGACTTGGAACATGTTGGCATTCTTGAAACATTATCTGCCTCTGACCTGGCTAGCTAGAAGGAGGCAGGATGAGGGGCCTGGGAGATTTCCTGTTATGTTTAAGTCTTGTTTAAGGGCTTCCTTGTTCTGGCTGTCTACAGTCATGGATGAGGGAAGAGGGTCTGGAGAGGCAAGGACCCTCAAAGTCTTGCTCCCTAACTAGAACCAGAATGGCTTACCCCACCTTTGGGAGGCGCCGTGAACTCCAAGGTAACCAGCCTGAGAAGTGTGGACAATGCAGTCCACTGAGAGAATCCTGGTCTCCACCACACTTACAAAACAGCAGTAAAGTGCAGTGTTTGACCTTTCAACTCCAAGTTTCTAGCCAGCTTCCTGGCAAAGGAGTCCAGAGGTAGGGAAAAATGGTGTTTGGTTAACAGATAGCAAGAGAAGAAAAAAAATATGCTAACCCTTTAGTCATGGAGTCAGTATCCAAGCAATACCATTTTTCAAGAATGACCATAGGAAAAAATTCTCATAAACTAGCTTTTCCTTCCTGTAATTTTAGGGTGAACACATCTCATTTCACTGTATTTTTTAATGGCTAGAAGTGAATGAATAAAATGATTGGTAAGGAATGGTCCCTTAAAAGGAAATTATGTTAAAGCGTTGCAACTTCTTTGTTCTCTCTATCTCCTACAAGGAGATAGGACTACAAGCCAGAGAAGTTTGAATTGACCAACAGAACACAGACAGGTGTTCTTTCTATAGCAATGGAAACTGACAAAAGGTAGTTAGGTTTAAGATTTATCTTTCTATGAATACAGATAACAAGAAGTGAAAGGAGGTTGAGATACAGTGGAACGTTTGTTTCAAGGATACTGGGGGGAGAACAGACCCTGGCTGGCCTGTTTTCCCAGAGGAAACTGTTCATTGTTTCATTCCCATAATGAAACTTTAGCCTAAGGAAATTGTTCTTTAAGAGTCCGTGGCTTTTGTTTGTTTATAATGATGTAATTTCCCCTCTCCTTTTCTTCTTTTAGGTCCTTTGTCTTCCTCCTCCTCTTTGCTTAAAAAAAAACAACAACAAAAACAAAACAAAACAAAAAAAACGGATGCCACATTCCTTTTATCGATTAGATTCTTTGCTAGTGATGTTGGTAGGGGATAGTTATATCTTTCATGATCTAGGCCTTCCATATGCTAGATGGAGGAGATTTCACTCTTGCTATAAAGGAGAGGGGTTCTACATGTTGCACTCCAGGTTTCTGGCACCCACAGGGTGGAAATCACAAGCGGGGAGGAAGAGCTCCTAAGGGGCATAGAAGAACGAATGGAAACATTCTTTCTATAAGCCATTGAATGCATGACTCTAAAGCTCAGCAGAAAGACTGGGTGGGGCTGGAGGTAGAGAGCTATGACTTGTCCTTGAAGAGATGGTCAGAATAAATTTGGTTTTCCAGGGTGACCACAGAGGAAGAGAGGGTGCAGGGCTGGCAAGAGTTTGGTAGAAGCAGCAAAGGAGGTCTAGGGGACAGAGAAAACAAAGGACTCAAAAACACAGCTCTGAAAGCAGTCTCCGCCATGCCCCCACTGTACCCACCCCAGCATAGAGGAGCATCAAGACAAGCGACAAGAAGGAAAATTAGTAGAAAGCAGAAACAAGCTTGGACAAGGTTGGGACAGCCCAGACTCAGAAACAAGGAGGCCAGGACCACATTGGGAGCATCTTACCCTCAAGGAGGTAGGGGGGTGGGGGATAAGGGGTTGCTGAGGAGAGAGAGCATCCTGCTGCAGTGTTAGGAAACCCTGTGGCTCAGCCCCCCAGACATGATGGGCTGGCCTCCTGGACTGCTCACTTCCCCACAGGGTGGGGCTCTGCACTAGGGAAATGGGTACTGAAGAGGGTGTGGAGTTCTTAGCTCGCCCCCCCCCCTTTTAAAAACTCTAGCCACTTTCCTTGGATTTGCTGCCTTCTGTGTTTTTGATATGATGAAATACTTTTGTGGTTAACATCCTTAACATCTACTACTTCATTCACTTGTTACTGTAGCTCCATGATTAAAAAGCATTTATTTTATTTGTTTTACCTTTGTAAGGACAGGGTCTCTTGTAGCCCAGGTTTGACTGGAACTTGTGTGGCTGAGGCTGGCCTTGAATTCTTAGTCTTCCTTCATGCACCTCCTGGTACTGCTTTGGAAGTGTGTACCAGGATCTACTCAAGGCATTATTTTGGTGCCTGGCTTATTTATGGGAAAAGTGAATTGGAGAAAGATTTAGTGACCTGTCCAAGGCCATAGAGCTGGGGCTATGATGCTTGTTGCTTTTGGGCTCAGGCACTTTGTCCTGAATCCACAGTTCTCTTACACAACTATCTAAAAATAACAAACATGAGTATTGTCATGTAATCTGTGCCTATATTTCAAAATTGAGAAACAAAAGAGAATCTTATCAATCCTTTATGTTGGAGTTCAAGGCTAGCTACATATCAAGACTTTGCCTCAAAATAACTAAATAGGGTTCTGGGATCTGGGTGTTGAAAACCTTATGTTCTTAGAAACTTACAGCAGAAAGTAAGTCTGGAGAGAAGTAACGCCTTGCATTCCTAACAGATCTATGTCTTTGCTGATAAAATGAAGTCCCTATGATTGGTTCCCTTGGAGACTGAAAGAGTCAATGGGCTTCCCCACAATAACCAACATATTGCTTACTTCCTGTAAGAGCTTTGAAACTAAAACAAAATTGAAAATGTGTTTTAAACTGAATGTTCATCTGTATTCTAGCTATAAGCCCATAGTGGAGTACATTGATGCCCAGTTTGAGGCCTACTTGCAAGAGGAATTGAAAATTAAACGTTCTCTCTTCAACTACCATGACACGAGGATTCACGCCTGCCTTTACTTCATCGCCCCCACGGGACATTCACTGAAGTCCCTGGACCTGGTCACCATGAAGAAGCTAGACAGCAAGGTATTGGTGCGGCTCCATCCACTCCAACCGTCTCTCTAAGTCCCCGGGTTATTTTCTGGAATGCCTGTAGCTGGGTTTTGTTTATGCTTTCTTTTTTCCTAGATTACAGAGAAAGCCAAATGAGATAAGTGCCTAAAAACTTCTTCTGAGTGTTAGTCAAGAAAAGACAAAACTAGCACTGGAATATAAACATGCGTTTGCACCCCTGTAGGTCTATAAAAGCACCGGCTGTAATTTCAATTTAGAGTGGTATCAGATTTTAATGTTTTGCCTGCTCAAGGACACTCAGCCTTTCAGATTTTCAAACTACATTTGTCTCAACAGGAAATAAAATCTAGATTTCAATTTTGGCCCTGGGCTTGCCATGTTTGTAGCCTTTGTTTTTACATCTCTTGAAGGAAGGGGGAATCTTTGGTGTGATAAAATCTGATGTCCAATTTAGTAATTATTTCAGTTTTCTGTTTTGAAATAAACAGAAAACAATATGTTGTGAATTAGATGATACAAAGGGAATCAAGAGCAAATGCAAACTAGCCGTGGTCCTTTCTCCTAGACGCTAACCCTCTTTGCCTCTCAGTGGAGATTCCTACTGGATAGTCAAAGCCCTAGGATGTGTTCCTACCCCCCCCCAAAAAAAAAAAAAACTGTTTAAAGATTTCTTTCTCTGCCACGAACTAAAACATAAAGATACTGTTCAGCAATCAGCCTTTCCCAGGTTTCCTTCTGGACCAGCCAGGAGACAGAGTGGCTCTCTGTCTGTTGAAAGGAAAAGGGAAAAACTAGAAGCCAAACAAACACAAATAAACCAAACCAGAGTCCAACTGCAAAGCAGTTTAAACTTTCAGACAACTCAATTATGATGCTGTTGGAGAGCTAGGTGGCATCTGTCATTGCTGTTTAATGCAGTTTCACTTATAAAGATAAAGGGACGAGTTAAGCAATTATGATCATTGTAAGTGCCTACCCATGTGATAGTTGGGTGTCTCTGTCTACCTTGTCAGTTTGGCCAAGAAACCATGACTAGGTGTTTTGTCCATGTTGATTCTGTCTCAGTCTTAAGTGTAGTCAGCACAGGTAGTCAGCAGGTGCATCAGGTTCTGATCAAGCCCTTTCTCCGCTGTCAGATCCTCTTCTCTGGAGGAAAGCCAGAGCCTGTGGGGTTTGGGAGGATATGAGATAGATCAAAGACAAAGACTTTGTCAGCATGTCCTCGAATTCTGGTTTGTCAGGAGTTTCTGATTTGGTCCTTGGAGAAAGGGGTTGGGATTTAGCTTAGTGGTAGATAGAGCACTTGCCTAGCCCTGGGTTCGGTCCTCACCTCTGAAAAAAGGAAGAAAGAAAGAGTCTAGATACAGATGTCCATAGCATTCACTAAATAAAACCCCTGTGCCTATGAGGAAGAGGGATAAAGTTCATCCTAAACCATGAACTTAAAGTAATTTCTGTGGTCCCAGGGCTCAGGATGTGGAGATAGGAGAATCCCAACCAGCCTGAGCACAGAGAGGGTTTGCGGCCTGCTACATGAGATCCTCTCTTGAGAAGACAAGCAAATTGTGATCTTTGGACAGGGTTGGGGGAGTAGGAAACAGCGTCCTAGGTGTCCTGGGTGCTTACTCTGTCAGACTCTGAATGCCCCCCTGTTTTTGTAGCTGAGACTCTGAAAGTGAGCCTTGCTAGTTTTGAGCCAGGAACCCATGTAGCCTGTGCCAGCCTCAGACTTAGTGTGTAGCCTCTGAGGATGGCCTTGAACACTTCATCCTCCTGACTCCACCTCCTTAGTGCTGGGATTATATGTGCGTGCCGCCATGCTCAAAGTGAGTCTTGCTTTTGATACTGGACCTTTTTATGAGATGTAAAGGTCGTTTGATAAGAACTGATTTTCAAAAGAATTAAGTCTGAGTTTGGAAATTTAAAAAATAGGTAATTTAAAAGTATTTTATTTATTTACTATTATTTTATTTCTTACTTTGAATCTCCCAGAAATTTTCAGGTCATCAGGAGAAAGGAAAGGGGGTTCTGCATAGCACCCATGATGCTCTGCATTAGCAGTGCTGCATGGGCATACAAAAATCAAGCCCCTGAAAGGAGTGGCTGTTTATTCAAAGAGTGGACTGACTTCTTTGTTGCCACTGTTTGCCATAGAGTAAAAACACTTCCTTTTACTCTGTAAAGTGGGAGGCGGTGGAGCAGAGGAAATTACAAGTGTCAGTGTGGGATGCGAGGAAGTCAGCATTCAGAGGGTGAGCTAAGATGATTCTGTGTCTGAATCTCACATCTTAAGAATGCCTGGTTGTCAGAATCACCTGCATCTCACAATGGTACCCTGTAAGGATGCCTGATTGTCAGCATCGCCCGCGCATCTTACAGTGGTGCCCTGTAGCTTTTGTCTTGTTGCCATATTTTTCATTGTCTAGTTTTCTTTCTTGCGGTGGGATTGTGTGACCATGGACATGCTTCCTTTACAGGTGAACATCATTCCAATAATTGCAAAAGCTGACACCATTGCCAAGAACGAATTGCACAAATTCAAGAGTAAGATCATGAGTGAACTAGTGAGCAATGGAGTTCAGATATATCAGTTCCCCACAGATGAGGAAACGGTGGCCGAGATTAATGCAACGATGAGTGTAAGTCGTTAGTCAAATAAGGACTGGAGGGAGGCCTTCCAGACAGCTTGTGTGGTGGTAGCATTGCAGAGGGGCTGGAAAAGCCTTGCTGAGATCTTCAGTGGGACTCCAACCCTGCTGTTGCTGCCAGTCATTTAACTAGCCAGTGCCTCAGTTTCCCCAGCTGTCAAGTGGGAAAGACAGGCAGGATTGTGTCAGCTTTCTGCGCACTCTGGTTTCTGTCGGGAGTCTTCGAGGAATGTGACACTGGTCCAGGATCTCCTACAAAGCAGCTCAAAGGAGGGAGCCCTTACTCTGGCCATGTTGGCAGAAACATGGCTGCGGTCCTCCCTTTGCCTCAGTGCTGCCTTCTCCTCTGGGCTATTTCCCATGCTTTCCTGAGTCTGTAGAAAAACTGGAAGGCGAGGGGATGCTGTCCAACCAGAGAGGTTGCTGCCAGGAGATCAATGAGCCGTTTCATTGTTATCATGACCAGGTCTCATCTAGCCCAAACTGGCCTCAAACTCAAAGTATATAGCCAAGGCTAGCTTCAAACTCTTGATCCTATTGTCTGAGCCTCTTGAGTCTAAGCTAGAGCTTTGGCATAAATCACCATGACTGGACCAGTTGCTTTTTTTCCCCAACTAAAATTACTTATCTCTTTCAGAAAGTTTTAAATACTTCTCTTTTAAAATTAATTTTTAGTGCACAAAAATAATGGTTTTCAAAAGTCTATGTTATTGTGCTTTGCTCATACTAACCCCTACTTGTGGGGAACTGAGGAAGCCCTGAGTAAGAAGCTATTGGAGTTGTCGTGGGGGTGACAGTATCAAAGACCAATGCCTCAGGTCCATAGGAATGGCAGTGCTGTTGCCAACCCCCTTCACCCCCAAACTACAAGTCTCAGAGGGATGGCAAAGCCTTTCTCTGGTCTGAGTGTGAATGTCGACAGTGTGTAAAGTACAAGTGTATATCAGCAACTGACTAGTGTGTGTGAAAACTAGCGACTGCAGCATCTTCCTGAGGTTTACTGTTCACTACAGAGACCTCTGCCTGAGACTAGCCAACTGTTCCCGTCTCAAGTCAAAACAACACAAAGAAACAGAATTATTTTTAGTTGTGTGAGTGTGAATATGTGCATTTGAGACCAGAGCCTTTAGATCTGGTTGTGAGTTGCCCCCAAACATAGGTGCTGGGAACAGAACTCTGGACCTCAGTAAGAGTACTGCACTCATTTGTAACTGCTGAGCCATCTCAGGTACCCTGGACTACGGAATTCAAATACCTTGTGCATCACGCAAAATGCTGTGTGTTCAACCTGAGCTGTGGATGTTGTCAGATTTGTGTGGAAGAAGATTCGTCTTGGAAACCTTCTAACCCTTTTCAGCAGTGGACAGGGAACCATAAACAATAATTCTCAGATCTCCTCTCTCTGTGTGATAGTGGAAAGCAGTTTTCTCCCCCACTGCCAGGGTGAAGCCATAACTACCAGATAACCCAGTGAAGAAGAGCCATTGTCTTGGACACTATACCATCTCTGTTTGAGCTGAGCTTGGTTGCAAGGCTGGAGCCAGTATTTTTGGACAAAAGCGTATCTTTGACTTGAAATTTGTGCATTGAGGAGCCCTCTGAAATAGTTCTGGAACTGGGAGCTCAGTTCAGTGGTCATCTCATACCTAGCATATGCAAGGCCTTGGGTCTCCCACTCTGGTTCTGCAAAGCCAGGAAGTAGAGCAGCTGTGTTCAATAGAAATACAATGTCAGCTAGGTGCAGTCCATTTAGACATCAGGCCTTTGGAATCCAGTGTTTACTTCTAGTGACCCTGAACCTCAGGTCAGAGTTCACATCCATCAGAAACAACTGATCTGCATTTACATGTCATGAAATTACAGTCAAGAGGCAGACCATGCATTCATTATTCCTAACATGCTTTACAGTTCTTCGTTATGAAGACAAGTTACACAAGATAGTTTTTCTTAGAATTTGCATTGCCTTTATAAAACTGTTCTCTCTCTCTTTTTTAAATGTTTGATTTGAGCTCAAAGCTAAATGAAATGCAAACTCCTACCTATTGATAAACTTAATATTTAATGGGAAGATATTTTGCATTGCTTTCATTTTTAAATTTAAATGTGAATCAATTAAAAAGTAAGTGAAATTTAAAAGTGATCATCTTGATCCCACAAACTTTTATTTCAAAAGATTTACTTATTTTTATTTTGTGTGTGTGGGGGGCATGTTTTGTATGCGTACCGTGTGCATGCAGTGCCCATGGAGACCAGAAGAGGGCATCATATCTTCTGGACCTGGAATTACAGATAGTTGTTAATCACCACCATGTGGTTGCTGGGAATTGAACCTAGGTTTCCTGGAAGAGTAGCCAGTGCTCCTAACCACTAAGCCATCTTTCCAGTCCTCCACAAGCCGTGTTTTAAATACCCTATGCACGCAGGTAATGGGTGGCAGCTGTGACAGATGGCATGCCACTCCAGCTCAAGTTGGTCCTTAAATCTAGTTTGTATTTGGCTGCGGAGTATACAGTTCATGAAGGGCATCCACTCAACTACAGGGACTGCCCCCCATCCTCTTTCATGTGACCACCTTTCTCTATGGAAAGAGGCCCCTCTAACAAGGAGAGTGATGGGGTCAGGGGAGGCTGTAGTTGGAGCTGCTAAGGATAACGGCTTGCTTCTTCTTTTGCCTGACAGGTCCATCTTCCCTTCGCAGTGGTTGGCAGCACTGAAGAAGTGAAGATTGGCAACAAGATGGCCAAGGCCAGGCAGTACCCCTGGGGTGTGGTGCAGGGTATGTCTTGTCATGGGAAATGGATTCCCATGTTAGTGCCTGGGATGAAGAAATGATGACCACATTCCTTTCCTCCCCATGCTGTGTAGAGAATGGTGGGGCTGTTTAGCCACCGTGGGTCTGAGGAAGAAAGAAATGGTCATCAGGCAGGCAGGCAGGTTAAGATGCAGCTGCTGCAAGCACTGAGCCCGAGGCAGCCCCCTAAGAGTTGCATCAGCAAAGCATCAGAAAGCTGGGAGAAAGAAAGTCTTCCAACAAGAGCTCTCTTGTTTCCTCCTGGTCACTGAAAAGTTGTTTTCCAAGGAAGTGTTATTTCAGCCAATATTGGTTGGTTGGGAATAGCGGTAGTATTTAAACGCTGCCCTGCTGAGTCGGGACAGCACAGAGTGCTAGTTACAGATCTGACTTTGGAGCCACATGTTACCCTTGTTGGGCAGTCAGTTGGCACCCCAAATCCAGACCCCTGCACCTGCAAAGTGAGTTACAATCTGCATGGCAGAATGGTCCAGAAGGTACGGGAAAGCTTTGGGAAGCCCCAAATCCAGACCCCTGCACCTGCAAAGTGAGTCACAATCTGCATGGCAGAATGGTCCAGAAGGTACGGGAAAGCTTTGGGAAGCCCCTCCCTCAGCACCCTCTTCCAGCATCGTGGTTACCTCTCCATCAGGGAGGGAGGGAGGAGCCACCAAAGCATCCTTCCTGCCTTTGAGACCTCAGAGGGACAGTGACAACCCCTCCGGAGTTTCACTTTGATTCCCAGACACTTCACTGCTGATGGCCTCATTCCCCTTGGCTGATTTCTTGCAGTTGAAAATGAAAACCACTGTGACTTTGTGAAGCTGAGGGAGATGCTGATCCGAGTGAACATGGAAGACTTGCGAGAGCAGACGCACACTCGCCACTATGAGCTGTATCGGCGCTGTAAGCTTGAGGAGATGGGCTTCAAGGACACCGACCCCGACAGCAAGCCCTTCAGGTGAGCCCGAACCTGGCAGGTGTCTCAGCTAGTGGCTGGGGAGGTGTGTCAGGGCAGCACAGAAAGGATTGCTGGGATTGAGGCTCTGATACTAGAGCGGCTTGGTGAGGAGGGATTAACGGGCAAATCGTCAGGTGCTGTGATGACCGCTTTTCATTGTCTCTGCTAAGTGATGTGGGTGTTGTTATTGCTGCCCTCATTTACCAGTGCTAACATTCAAAGTGCCCCAAATGTAAGCAACCTGCCTAAAGTCCTAGCAGTTAGGGAAAAGGGGTTGATCTGAATCCTGGCTCTTGAGCCCAAGCTCCTAATTATGTTTGTGGGGTGTAGTGCCTGACCCACACCCCCACAGGGCACAGCTGCTGGCTAAGATTTGCCATATTCATTTGTGCTGAAAAGATTTAACTTCCTTCCTAAGGCTCCTAGCTTTTAAGTACTTTTAAAAAAAAAAAAAAAAAAAAAAAAAAAAAAGTGTGTGCGCATGAGCTCATGCACTTGCCCACAGAGGCCAGAAGAGGGTGGCAGATCCTCCCCTTGTAAGCCACCTTGTATAGATTCTGGGATCCAAACTCGGGTCCTCTGAGGGCAGCCAGTGGCTTAACCACAGAGCCGTCTCTCCAGCCCTTAGGTTTTCCATGTTCTTCCACACTGGTGTGCAGTTCTGACAGAGGGTAGGAAAGGAAAGCGCTTAGAAAGTCTGTGTATTTCCCACATCACTGATGGATGGACATGCAAGTGTGAAAGGAAGAAAAGGTAATTGTAGCTGGAGAGGTGGTTCATCAGCTAAGAGTGCTGGCTGCTCTGGCAGAGAGAGGACCTGGGTTCAAGTCCTAGCACCCACATCGAGGCTCATGGACGTCTGTAGCTTCAGCTCCGAGGGATCTGATACTCTGTTCTGCCTTCTTTGGGCTCCTGGCACACATATGGTGCATACATACATTCAGGCAAAACACCCCTACACATAAAAATAAATTTTAAAAGAAGGTAGGCTCAGCACCCTAGCAACTGCCTACCTTCCAACAGAGCTTCCTCCATGGTGGAGAAAGGATAGCTTGGATGGGTTGATTGGAGGCATGGCTCTTGAGTCACTGGATGGTGAGGCTCAAGGCCAGATCGCCACCTCCTGGTAGAGGAAGGGATTGTCCAGTCTGACCCCGAGCAGTTTCTTAATGGAGATCTCAGTTGAGACAACATGAGGTCTGTCTGGACTTTGAGCCTCTTCTGGTTAAAGCCACACAGTGCCTTTGAACAACCTGTTTTCCACCTTTTATGGCCACCGTGAGGACACTCTCTGAAATCTACAAGTCATAGAACTGATGGCCTGCCAAAGAACCTGAGGCCACCAGTGCTCAATGAAGCAGTCGTCTCCAGTCATCTGAATGGCCCTTTTGGTGGGAGGAGTTCTCTTTTGGAACCACTTTGGAGAAAGTTCAGTATTTAGTGGGCTAGTGCCCCACACAGACGGCTGACTCCTGTCTGTGTTTAGTGAGAACCCAATGTAAACCTCACACACAGGACTGACTTCTAACCATTCATCATTTAACCTAGTCTCACAGGCCTGTGGACTGTCTTCAGCCAGGTAGGATGCGGCTCTGTGAAGGCAGGTATAGCAGGTCTTTCTGTGCTTGCAACATATTTACTGGAAAACAACCCCATGAAATCAAGCCTGTTCAAGGCTTATTAAGTCTGCTGATAAATGGCTTTTGTATAGAGTATTCATTTTCATGCACAAAAGTAGAACAAAGAAACTTGTGTAAATGCAGTGGCCAGGGCTAGATACTGTGGAGGACCCACCTCTGTGTGTCAGAAGCCACAGGTCAAGTCTTAGTTCTGCTGCTACTCATGTCCTTAACCCATCTGGGCCAGATCAGGGAACCAACCAGACATAACAGGAGGGCTTTCTTTACAGACCATAGAATCTCATCACAGCTACCCAGTTCTGCCCATCTCATTGGAAAGCACCTTAGACCTTATATAAATGAATGCCCATGTCTGTGTTCCAGCCATTAAATACCTGGGAATACCAGGAAGGAGAGGGCTAGGTCTGTTTCTGTAATCTACCAACAACTGGACTAGGTCATAGCCTGGACTCCTAGGTTGTTAGAGGTACTTGCCTCTCATTGTGTTAAAAACCATTCCACACTCCTGTGTTCTTTTAAGTTCTGGAATTTGAGGGTCTAGGATGTTACCTGTACCTGCTAACATGAGGAGGAACCAGGTGGTCTGTCTGCCTTTCATCAAAGAGACCACAGTCCTTATACCAAGATGGCCAGGGCTGCATTCCTGCCTATGCAGGCACACAGTCCATCCATCTGTCCATCTGTCACTCCCCCCTCCCCCAATCACCCTGCTGACTCTGTTGCTGACATTTTTATTGGCAGCCTACTACTCAGGCTGTACCATCTTTCAGGCTTCAGATTTAACAGGAGATGACACTAAAGTCTTGGGCCCCACCTCCCACCCCATTTGATCCCATTTCTTCAGGCCCTAAGTTTCCTTTTTGATGTTGAAATGGGAAAATGTTTATACCTATGTATTATTATCAAGGCCCATATACATTGTCACCAAGACCCATATACATCATTACCAAGGCCCATACACATTATAACCAAGGTCTGTGTTTAAAAAAAAAAAAAGGTAAAAGTAGAGCCTTTAAAAATAAATTCATTACCTCAGTAACTAGGACAGGGTTCTCCATTTAAAATGGCAGTGATCCTCCTTGTGCAGTCAGTCACTCACTCACTCAGATATGTCCCTTTTGCGGTGGGAAAGGTCACCACAGGGACCTGACTTTGGTCCAGTGTGAAGTGTGACATCCCTTTCTTGAAAGCACTGTGTGAGGAGATCAGCCTCTCCCTTGGGAATCTTGTACCCGCAGCGGTTCCTGGGACAGTACTAAAGGGCGAGAGGAGGTGGAGGACAGTGTGGGAAGGGTACCAGAACCAAAGACAGGCGAAAAGCACAGTTGATCTTTTACAGCATCGTTCCTGGATGTTCTGTTTTTTCCCTCCTTCACATGTCAACATTTAATGTTTTCATTGCACTTCAAGTCTACCTTGGACAAAATGAGCAGGAAGACCTTTTGAGTCAGTGGCTCCAGTTTAAAAGCTGGGAGTTGCCGATGACACCATTGCTGTAGTGACCCCGAGCTTGCTGTGCATGATGGGACTTGGCTAAGCTGGGTAGGGTTCCATGCCAGGAGACATCACTGGGCATGTGGTGCTTCTGGTTCATGGCTCAGGTGGCAGGGGTGTGTGGGGGATATGATTTCTGTGTTATCCCAAACTATTTAAAGTGACTAAAGTGGTTTTGAGTTCTTGGGTTAAGGCTTTGGACATTGGCTTCATCCGTTGCTACCATCACTGTTTCCTGTGTTCAGAAGCTGATTCATATCCTAGGAGACAGCAGTACAGCTGAGCAGCATTTGTGAGCCATTTTCATCCCTTGCCCCTGGATGTCAACATTTACCAGACTCAGGGCTGGGATGGTCTTGCCTATCAATATGGCCCTCAATATGGCTTGAACTTTCCACATACAAACACTTTGCAGTGTGATCCAGTGTCTGCAGCTCAGGCAGAGTGCAGATTCTTCTTGTCTGCATTATACTCAAGTATTTTCTTACCCAGGACTTTTAAACCGTGTCCTTTAACACTGGTTAAAACCCATTAATGTCTGAGCATGGTGGCACATGCCTTTAATCCCAGCATTCAGGAGGCAGAGGCGGGTGAATCTCTGAATTTGAGGCCAGCCTGATTTATAGAGTGAGTTCCAGGATAGCCAGGACTACACAGAGAAACCCTGTCTTGAAAATCCAATCAATTAATCAATCAATCAACCAGCCAACAAGCACACAAGAAACCAAAGATTGGGTCATGATCCATAGTTTAAAAACAGGTTCAGAAACTAAGGTATGTGTGTGATGGGGACTGGATGTGGGCAGGGCAATCTGAGAGTTCTCATCACCTGAAACACATTCCTTCTGAGTTATTAGAGTCTGTGCCCAACCAGACCTGAAGAGCTCCAAGATAATCAAGGTGGATAGTTCTTTTTCCTGAAGGGCTTCTTCAGATCATTAAAACAAGCAGTGGCCATCAAACTGGTTACAAGCTGTCACCTGGAAGGCAGTCCAAAGCAAACTGACCGTAGCTACGTGTTCAGAATTGGCATCTCCAGGAGTGAAGCTAGGTGGGCATCTGTAGTTAGAAAAGTACACTAAGATGTGCCCATAAGGACATGGTGTGCCACCAGGGTGGCTCCACTGTGCTTGAAGAGTCCCCTGATGGAGGAGCGTGCTTCCTGTTTTGACTACAGAACCTGCCCCTTTGAAGCCTGATCTCAGAACACAGATTGGGTGTTGTTTCTGTCTTAGGTTGCATTGCTTGAAGAGAGAGGTCCATTTTATTATACTAATTAGAAACCAAGTTTTCTATAAGATTTTCTAACAGGGCCAGGTTATCCTCTGCCTTGTGCAAGTCTGATTACAGGTAAAGGTGACAAGTTTATCACAAACTGATGAAGACGGTCATTCTGAGTTATTCTAAAGGTCTACTGTTGATAAATTCTAGGTCTCTTAAAATTGAAATATAAACATTGTTATTCATATTAGCCAATACTAATATGTCCAACTTGTTTTTGTCTCATGAAAAATAACTTCTGAAACTCACAACTCATGGTTGCTTATCAGCAGAGGGCATTGGCAATGTCCAGGCAGAAGCCCTTGTTTTTCGTAAATTAATGATCAGTTATAGAAGGGTGAAATTCCTGCCCTAGTTTTTATGACTGTAGCTGTCTACTTGTTGCTGTGTTCCCCCACCAGCGTGCTTCCCCATTGGGTTTTCCTTTTTACCACCTTAGTGGACAGGTGTGAACTCTGTGGGTGGCACTAGAGGGTGCCTGGCAGTATCCTTAGTTGCTATCTAGTCTGTAGCATAGTAAGTGTGCCCTTGGGGTAAATCAGTCTGTGTTAAAAGTAGACCCTACCTGCAGGCTCTGTTACCATGCAGCTGTTCTGATGAACTACAAAAGAGAGAAGGGAATGCCCTATAAACACCAGCTCCTGTTTCTTTGTGGTACATGAGGTGTGTGTACAGGGCGGGGGAGGGGTGGTCCTTTGTGTTACCAAAGGCACTTTCTTCCTCTGTAAAAGTCTTTGTTCTGACAGAGATGCAGTTGAGTCGTGACATTCAGGAGGAGGCGCAGACTCTGAGTTCTGTAGAGAGAAAGAGCAGGGTTCAAAATGAAACCAAGCCTCCTCCCCGCTATGGCTAGAGAAGTGATGGTTTTCTACCCTGCCTTAAGAAGACAGTCTTCTCACTAGTCTGTTTTTCTTTCCCTTTCGGGGTTAGAGAGAGATGAGTGGGGGAGGGCAAGTCCTTATTAAGCACCTCTTGTATGTCAAATGCTTTTCTCATTTCCTCATAACTCATTCGCACAGCCTCTTCTCAGGGAGATGAGGGCTGTTGTGTCTGAAACCCCTGTGTGTGTGGGGGGGGCACGAGAGAGCTATGCCTACCTAGGTCAGTCAGTGGGGGAGGCCAGAATTACAGGGCTGCTCTGTCCGACTCCAACGCCTGCTATTTCACCTATGATACTAGGCCCACCATCTTGCAGAACTCTTGAATCCTGGCTGGTTAGCTGTAGGCCCTTGGTGCTGTGTTATGCTTTTGGACATATTTTCTCTGCATAAAGAAGAAGGAAACTCATTTTATTCCCGCTTTAGTGTGGTAAAGCAGTAATTATCTCTCTTTTTTTGTCTTTTTGGAATGAGGGAAGAGAAATGACATGACCTGAAATGTATAATGCTGTCTCACGCCCTGCCTTGTTTTGTGGATTTTTAATAGTCTTCAAGAGACGTATGAAGCAAAAAGGAATGAATTCCTGGGAGAGCTGCAGAAGAAGGAGGAGGAGATGAGGCAGATGTTTGTCATGAGAGTGAAGGAGAAAGAGAAGGAACTTAAAGAGGCAGAGAAAGAGGTGAGCTGTGTG